CTCGAGAAAATACTCCTCGGCAAACCCCAATTCTGCTTTCATCTCCTACTGGCACAAATCCCTCTTTGCCTAAACTCTTTACGTTCTATTATCATAATGCTACTATATCACTGTAGCTATCGTTTTGCTTCATATGCTGTAAACTCGGTGTAATTCATCGCAAAAACGATTCAATAAGTGCGCATATGTGAAGGAGTAAACGTTCACCTAATGGTCACTCAATAGAGTGACTGAATAAAATTAGGAAAATATCGTTCTGTTCAATCGGGAAAGTACGTATAAAGCATACCCCTATCAAAAATAGTATCAAAATGTCCTCTTTCCTTTCGACTCATCCGCAAATTCAGTAACCATCATGAATTTCTTCCAGTACAATTGTATTTTCAACAATGGGAACTGTTGTTACCCTCCGCCATGTAAAGCATTCAAACATCATTTTGCAAACATCAGAACGCGTATAAATCACGAACATTTCATGGATATCCATCAGAGAGACCCATGCATTCAACATTTCAGATTACCAATGTTATTCCAATGAAACGCTGAGTAATATGCACAATCAAGAAACATCATCGCTATTAGGCGCTTATATTATCAGTATTAATAGAATCCGTCTGAGCATTACGCTTGTGTTGTCTCATTGTTGCTTCACTGCTACTGTTGTTTTGAACAATAATTCCGTCTTAAAACCAAAATCCTAAAATTACGAGAATAACTCTCGTAAACTTCCGTCATAACACCAATCGAAAAGTCTATTTCCATCGAAAATCTGAATTCTCAATACTAAGCTGGAAATCTTCCGCAGCACTTTCACCGATAAATTTACTGGTGATCCGAACTTATAGCAATCCTAGCACCTCCTAACATCTAACTAATATCCTTCTGAAGCTGCTTCAGCATTGGACCGAGCCAGAAAAAAAGAATGCCTGATAAAGGAATCTCACTGGTGACGACTCCTCTAAGCATATTTATGGAAGTATACGGGAATCTCGGAAATTAGTCTCCGTATAATTTCGAACATGGAATGAAAATAAATCGTTCGAAAAAGATAAACTGTGCGAAAAGCAACACAGCACCAATCAACGACACTGATATCGATAAAATGAATGGAGCACCAAGCAAATGAAAACGAATACAATCGATCAAACTGTATAGCTAAATCGATCAAACTGTCAGACTCTAATAGAAGGGAGAACAAATTCCCTGTATCGATCATTTCTGACTTACAAAACTGTCGCTGTTGCTGAACCGATTAGAGTCTTGAGTGGTGATCTGGCTGTGCAAATGTTGCAAAAAGTTGAAATCTGGGCATCAAACTCTTCAATAGTTCATATTCCTTTTTATTGCTTTACGATGTCGCATTAGAAAGACTTTATTCATTAACTTGCATCATATTTAATCATATATTGGCATAATTAGGTTCTGTGAACATAAGACGAGACATCTAAATGATGTTCAGCAAACTTTTTCTCTATTTCAGTCCGATCTCGACCGTAACGAATCCTGAAACTCAGAAAACTCCATGGCGTTCGATATGGCTCTGCAATGTCCTTCAGCTTCTGAATGGAATTCAATTTTCGATTCTCTTCACGTCGATGTGGCCATTTCTAAAAACTGTTAGGAACACAACGCTCTTATATTTTACCGATTTTGCAGATCGCAAAGTGAATCTGATATTCTGACTTCCTTGCGATCATTTTGGAATTTGTTTGAACTTTTCAATTTGAAATTTTGAAACTTTTCGATCGTATTTTGTCGTAGAAAAGATTATGGTTTTGAGGAGCAGGAGTGAAGCAATTTTGTAAGAACCAGGCTTGCTAAGAATAAGGATTTAGTTCAGTTTTAGATCGACAGTACGGCAGATTTGAATTTCTATGGATGGATTACAGCGATTTTCCCATTGGGTCAAACCTTGGGATCATTTCTGTTTGGATTGTGGGATCAGAAGAGTAAACGCGCCAAGGATCCAACAGCGATGGGTGTTGCATTAATGGGGGTGGGTAATTTGTTGTATGGAATATTACCAGTGTTCAAGAGTGGCGCTAAATGGATTATGCTCATAGCGAGATTTGTTGTTGGATTTGGCTCAGGTCGGTTTGATTACAGTTGAATCATGTGGTCACCTTTGGATCTTTATTGACGTGAGAAAATAACTTACAAAAATTCTTTTCTACTAGTTTAAAAACCCTGTACTTCCACCACTATGATCCATGTATGAATTCGGAACAAACAATGAACAGATTCACCTATGCGGAAACAGTTTTTGGCGTCGCTGATGAAGTCATTAAGCTCACCTTCTGATCTTCAAAACTATTTGAACTTTGAAACGAAAAGCAATGGATTTATTCAGTATTGTTACTCAAACTGTCACATCATGTATGGGGGAGAGGGTATCGTCAGGCAAGGAATTCCAATCATATTATTCATCGAATTGAAGGGAATCTAAGTGTGCTACGCTCGTATGTGGCGACTGGTGCAAGGCCTGAAGATCGCGTTAAGGCACTTTCGATTGGCTTCGGAATGTTCGTTCTTGGCCTCTCGCTTGGACCAGTTGTCATGGTATGTCATCTTACATTCCGTGTTGTCAGTTGGCAAATGTTCCATTCATCTGCACATGTTTACCACAGAAGCTTCGTTCGTTTCATATAATTGAACGTTTCACAATCATACTAATAAAAGAACGCTTTGAAAATTAAAGTTGATATTCACACCACTCGGACCGAGCGGCTTCTATCTGGGCACTCTGCAAGTTTCAATGTATAATCTACCAGCGTTCAGTATGGTTCTTGTTGGAATCGTATCTCTACTACTTCTCTATACTTGCTTTCAAGAGGTTTACGCCGGAATCATTACGGTGGATGAATCGAAGGGTTAGTCACGGTCATCTTCTATGTTCAATGAATTCTGTCATGCATGTTAGATGAGTTGTTGAGAGGATAGGATGACTTATCAGTTAATGCTAATCGTGATAGAGCAACACTGTCTCGCAAGAGATTCAACGGAAAGCTTTGGGAATGGCGTTCAAAATAACTGGAATCATGCACCCATTGAATTTTGTGAGACAAACGGTTTATGGATTATCAACAAGATATTCAACAACAAAAAGGATAGAAAATGAACGTAAAGAAGTCCCAAAGACGCAGATTTCATACTTATTGTTAGTGGAGAACAGTAATTACGAAAAGTCACAGACGTCTTGAATCACTTCACGAGAGAGAGAGCGAGAATGATCATCGTCTGGTCATAAGTGTTGTAGGCTCAAAACCCTCTTATGTTGAAGTGTTCCATTAATTAGATGAGTAAAGTAATTAATAAATGAATTGATGCAATGCGTATGAATTTCACATGAGTTTGGTTTTAAGGGTCGGCATATCAATATTTTGTTCTACCAAAATTCGACAAATTGGCTGCTAGCATATGTATCGGTGTGTGGTTCGTAATGCAATGCGTCGGAATCAATATCGAAGTGTGAGCCTTTGTGCACTCGTACCAATAGATAAGTTAAATGTTTGAGAGGCTTCAGAATCTTTGAGAAAACTCGAAAATGAGTTTTAGAATGTCATTCGCACAGTGATGATAGACTTGAATCTTACTGAGTTAATCTTTCTGATATGTTTATTGACTGAGATTCAGCAATAGGCAATTAAGATGTATGACTGCAAAAGAGTTAGCGAGAGACATTGAAATTCAGCTGGGCTACCTCGCATTGAAGATGTTATGATTGCAGATTAACGGTTCCACTCTCAATGATACTCTACGGTTGGGACAATGAACGAGCGGTCATTTATAATGGCATCCTAGTTTTCTGTTCAACCGGAATCAGTTGCAGCTTGTATATTGCGATTGGAGTCACACGACTAGGAAAAATGTACACAAATTGAACACCACTTCTTACTACAGTGGTTCTCGTAGGAGGTGAAATTACCCGTTTTGGGTAATTTGAGGATGTTACGGGGTAATGGAGCGGGTCGGGAAATTAGCATTTCGTGCAGCTGTTATTTTATGATAGAACACCATTGTCGTGGTGTTTTTTTAACTTGAATATGTAAATGTTGATGGCAGCACTCTCACATTTTCTCAGTATCATTAGCTCGTTCGGGTCTAACAGGGTTTTGATTCGTTTTAACAGGGTTTTCATTCTTTTCCTTGCTGCTACAATCACTCTCGTAGCTTTTATCACC